CTCAAGTATTCCTTGAAGGTACACTCACACTACCACTATAGAACAGGCCATCAGTTACTTGGCCACTGACTGTTTGAGGACCCTCTCAGGATCGAATCAGGGTTCTTGGGTGACGAAGACCTTCGACCGTCTGTATCACTCAGTCGATCCGTCCCGCAATCCGATCCGCGAGAAGAGTATATTGATGTCATGGCAACAATATAAGACGAACTCAATCGGACTGAGAATTCCTGTCATATATATTTTCGTCCAGACGGTGAATTAACTTTTCCTCTATTTCCGTATCATTGGTTGATGAGCTATTCAGGTGTTCTACGAGGAACTCCCAGCGGCCCAGAGAGCTATGCAGCAGCTTATGCAAGTTTTGTGTGATAAGATTCGCGTGGAGCTCCGGGTATCGTTTCTCTTCGTTTCGTTTGTATGTTGTACCTGAACCACGCTCTATTAGAAGCCACCTGGGCATAATGACCTCGTGAGCCTCAGGAAGTTACTTATGGAGTACACTGGCGTCAAATTCCGATCCAGTTTTGGGTTCTCTTATAGTGGGCGGGACTCCAATCCTCCCGACCGGAGCCCTAGAGGCGCGGAGGAAGGTCTTGATGGGGTCCTTCAGGCAAAGACTTACCAGGCCGGCACCCAGGGGGTAGAAGGATGGCTTAATCAAGAGTTATTCGAGCATGTCATCCCCGTCACCTTTCATAACTTTAATTGTTGACAGGGGTTATAGGAAGGATAGCAAGACGTTCCCAGCTTTCGCGAATAGTATGCCGCCTTGACAATAATTTTTGTCGCGGTTTCTTACCGACATCTAGACCCTATCTGGGAAAAGATAAGAAGTGATATGGTCGGGTTCACCAAAATAAACACATCTAGTGACTGGTACACTGCTAACAATAGTACCGTTTATCGACACCCGGACGGAGGGACGAATATCAAGCAATACTCACAATACGTGTATACAGTCGGAGAACTGGTGGTCGCAGGTGTGAAGGTCACTTGGGTCTTCGTTTGCTATGTTGGTGTAAGCCACACCTTTTACGCCCCGATGTTCTTGCGAGGTTAACAATGCGGCAGGTCTACTGCGGGACATTGAAGACAAGTTAGCTCTTGTTCAACTGCGGGACTTGGAGGCAGAGATCGGAATTACTGGAAGTTTTATAGACTCAAGGGACGTGCACTTATCATCCCACGAAAATTGTCGATCCGTTTGCTGCACTACTTTTAGCCGCCCGGACGATCATGTAGAAATGGTGTATCAGCTCCCGATGAAAATGGAACGAGTTCGAGCGCGCAAGTCGTGTTGGGGAATAGTTATGATCTCTATGAGATGGCGATAACTCCTAGCCTCTGTACCACCGTTTCTATATCTAATCTCTCCTCTGGGACACTCTTCCAGCAGTCTTCGAAAACTTTCCAAAGGGCCTCGGTCCCCAAAGGAGCCTGTTCAGGATATTCAGGTTTTGCGTCCTTCATGACGATAGCAAGGATAATGCTCGAGTCTTGACGGGTCTCGTGGAACGGCTGGATCCCCGTCCAAATCTACGAGCGTTAAAGAGGGCAATTGTCAGGAGGTGTATTATTAGACTTACTTCATAAGACGTGATTGCAAACGTGTATACATCGGTGGCCTTATTAGGGTTAGCGCCTTGCAGCAGTTCCGAAGGTTGGTAGCGGCACGCTCCGATAGGTTTTGTGGTGAATCCACCTGTAGCGAGAACTCCGAAACGACCAAAGTCGCAGAGAAGTGGATAACCATCATCGTGAATGAGGATGTTGGACTATGCTCCGCAGAAACTGGTTGATACGAGGTCAAAACTGGACGGTTGGTCCACTCACTGGTTTAAGATCGCCGTGAATGACCTCCTCTCGGTGCAGGTACTGCAAACCTTCGGAAACACCCCTGATCTACGGAAGGGTGACTCACAAAATCTCTCTACGATAGATAAAATAATGAACAACGCACGATGGGTAATCTTATGTCGATATCGGTGTGCAAGCTGAGGTAATGATCGACAGTTCCGTTGTTGCAGTAGGGAGAAATAAGTGCGGGACAGCCAAATCGTCCTAGGTCAGACGCTAGGCCAAAGAATTTCAAGATATTGCGATGATTCAACCTATGCCAGACTTCCGTTTCTTCTATTAAACACTGGCATGGCTGTTAGCACAGTAACCAATCCCTTCACAAGGTAACAACTTGCCTTCTTAACACTGGCAACCACTTCTTCATCATTGGCCATGCGCAGGACCTTAATGGCAACCTACGGTGTCGCTAGTTAGCTCGAGAATGGTATGATGCCACAGTTTTTGTCATGTGCCCACCTTGACCTTTGTGCCATCATCGTCTGTAAGATAGCCGATGAAGATATCTGCTTGGCTGCCCCCGTGGCTGGGACGAACCCCATCAGTTTGAATGCGCCCCTTGAGATCCTGGAAGAACAATTAGGCCGGCAAACAGGGATCAAGACCGGTTAAAATGCCTTGTATGAGACCTGATCAACCCGGGTAGGTATTCTTGTGGGAGAGACTTGCATCAGGAACGGTATTTCGTGCAACGTGCAACGTTAGTCAAAGCCAGGTGGTCAGCTTGCTACCAAGCGTGGATTGTTTGTTCCTATTAGGGCTCATGGACAACAAAAACGATTAGTCGACTTGCGAGGGGAACGCGACTGGCGTTGAGCTCGATGAATATCACACACAACTGGGGTCCCTGGATATGCGGCGCAGCGTTCAGCGTCCCAACTGAGGCTCGACGGCCACACATTCACATCAAGCAGTGGACAGCTGCAGGCTGCTAGACCAAAGTATTCTATTGGGGAAGCTGGTATGACGTCCTGCGCTACAACAACAACCACACCATTGTAGGGCTCACCACCGATCTCTAGAGAAAAGTAGTCCAGCGCAGGAATGAAAAAACGCCCCGTCCCTCTGTGTGGCCCCCGAAACCCAATTCAACATCCACCACAATTGAATATGACGACGAGACAGTAGCCAACAAGAATCATGGCCGCTCCAATCCATACACTAGTTAATTCCATGTTCTGAATTTCGCCCGAGGGAATATGTATTTCATTTTCCCTTTTTTTCTATTCTCCCCAAACCCCTTTGAGCACGGGTCTCACCGGTCCCAACCGAGTTGGACTAGGCGTTCAACCGCCACGTTCACTTCCTTTTCTGGGCCTTCTGACGCCCTATCTTCATCTCTTTCTCCTGGCTTTTCCCAAAATTTATCCTACTTTTTCCTTTTAAAACATCAATGAAACGAATAGGTACGAGTACAGCATGAGTTACGCTCTTGTATCTACAGGAAATCGGCGAATATACCCCGACTTCTTGCACCACACCCTTGCTGTCTGAGCCTCAGACTATGAGGGCGACGCTCTGGGGCTTTCTCGCCTCCCCTTCCTTACGCTCGCCAGAAGTCCCACTTACACTCGCCTCGATGTAGGACGCGCCACTGAACTTTAACCTTCACCTCAAATTTCACGATCATAGACCGTAGGTGACTGCACCCGTCGTCGTCAGCCCCGAGTGGGTCCCTTGGACAATATGTATTTACGCTCTACGCTCCAAACAAAACCCGTCCCTTTTGTAAGAATACGATTCAGTCACTCGAAATACGGACGAGTACTGAAGTGTAGCGGCAAAGATCGGACACTTTTCATACAAGCAAAAAGAGCAAGAAAGAAACCCTGCTGGTGCGGGTACTCGGAGAAATAAAGAATCATGCGCTGCACATGAATTGCAAATAGGCAAGGGAAAACATAGGACCGGTACCTGCTGGTACCATTCACCTAACAACGACCGCCTACTCGCCTTGGCGTACCTTTTCCAATCCCAACACCTTTGAACAATATCCTTCTTTTGTGAAATATCCCGACATGAAAAAGGCAGGTTTGAACGGCAAGCACGATGGTCCGCCAAAGAACCATGGCCTACCTCCTATAGCTTGGACCCAATACAAACATTGGCGTCGCTTCTTGATTACAGGTACCCATGGTCCTTCTACCCATGGCTTCAGTTATGGATTCAAATGGTTCTCTCGTGATCACATTTCAGCCGGTGATAGATATCAAAAAAATCCTCTCCGAAACCTTCAGGAAATCCGTACCTGGTGCTCTATATCTACTGAAGGAGACACGCCATGCTCAATGCAAAAGCACCTCGAACTCCCCACCGCAGTCTTGGGAAAGAAGCAAGAGCTGGAACTGCTGAGTGAGTCTATATTCGCTCCCCATTCGTTCTGGGGTGCACAGGCGACCTTCGACATTTAACAGACCCGCACGACGGCTTGACAGTGTCATTGGTAACATCGTCCCAGATGGCCAGCTCTCTAATGGCCAGTTTTCTAAGAATTTACCAGCCAAGACCTCTTCAAACCTGTGTTACAATATATCTTGTTCGGCGCCCCTCGGGTCCCTCCCATTTTCGTACTTCTAGCACGCCTTTGCACAACCACACATTCATCATTCCCACCGGAAATTCCGACACAATACGTTTTGCGCTTCCTCTCCTTGGGTAAAGAAACATTTGGAGAGGCTCTCCGAACAGTGGATGCTGCTGTTCATTGATTCCCCTTGGGGAACTGGATGCTCCATGACTTACCATATTTCTTCGTGTCTCAAATTGGCGTCGTTTTCCCAAAGAGTATTGATCCTCCGCAGCGTCAAAGCGATATGACAAACACATTGCAGAGACGGCAGGTCGGCTACCAATGAAATAGGATGCCGACCAGCGCCTCCCACTAGTAACGGAGCGCCCACGATGTCCGTTCCGTCCAAAAACTTCAACTTAGAGTTGAATGTTTACTTTCACTGCTCACCATTCCTGTTCATTTGTACCTGGGAAATTTTCTCTGATGTTGAAGGAACTGAAAAGGAACGACGAAAGGGATTTATCGGAAGGCAAAAAGGCAAATCTAGACTATGCTATTCTAAGGATTTTATACGCAGAGAACAATGGAATAAATATTTATATACACACGTATGGCACCGTCAAGCCACAGGCCTGTGGACATTTCACGGATTGCCCCTGAATTCCAACATCCAACCCTTGGTTCGTATCGTGCCTCCTCTCGCCCGCCCTAACACATTTCTCTGCTGACCTGACAAATCACCATTTGCCTAGATTTCACTAATTGATCCGTATACTAGTCTTGATCTTACTGCACCTTTTTTTACTGTTTCCTTACAAAGCTACAGAAGACTTTCTACTCTATATTCTCGCAGTCTCGACCTCGTGATCCTCCGTTCCGAGTTTCCTTCACTTTCTCACCGTCCTTTTAACTAGTTACCGAAGAGCGTTTGCCTCTAATTCCTACACCTCCAGTGGCTTCGCAGTATAAAAACCTCATCTCGTCTGCATATTCTCTTCAGTTAATCGATCCCCACTCCATGCAGCAAGCTGTCCGTGCTCAAGTCTAACAACGACCGTCTTGCCTCTCTTTCTTCCGTCTCAGTTTCAAATTCTCTCCAACGCCATTGCCTCGTCTCTTTCTCGTCGACACCGCTTTCGCTCTCTCGTCGTCTGGACTCCGGACTCGCTGCTAAAGCCGCTGGCAGACGCAGCTGGCGCTCGCCCCTTTTCGTTAGCAACCCCGTTTGCGTTTCTTCAATATACCCCATGTTCCTCCTTCCCCATCAAAAACTTTTGGAATATCAAATTGTAGCTGCCCTTATGTTATCCAGCCGACGATCCATATCATAATGTACCATACTTCTTAAT